CCCCAACCCCTGTTGGACATCAGAACAAATTGCTCCTGTGCTCAGGGAATGCACGCACTGGGAGAAGCTAGGCCTCCAAGTAGCAGATCGTTGCCGAATATTATCAAACATCGAAAGTGGGTGAGACAATTGAGACTGGCAACGAAGTCGGTAGTATCTTCACATTGGCCCCAGGCCCTGTGAAGGCACGGCCAGACACAGACAGCCCACCTCCCTGCACCCCTCACCAACCTCTCCACCAACGGGAAAATTATTCAGGGGCCACCAACTCCTGTTAGACATCAGAAATAATTTGTGTTTGGTGTGACGATCCTTGTGAATCTCAGAACTGATCTTGGCGCTCTTTAAGGCCTACAACCGAATTCAATCCTGCCGGTCCGTCCAATCGAAGTGTCCACTTGAAAGAAAGAAAGATAGGATCAGCTCCAAGCCTCTCCTGTTTTAGAAGGCCATAACTCTCACTTCCTGCCCTATAGGATCGGCTCCAAACATTTCCTGCTTGAGGAGGCCATGACCCCCCCGAATTCTAAGCATAGCCAAGCATATGAGCTGTATGCATTACATCAATTATTCCACTGTGTGGGATACACCAGGAATAATTTACACGCATGTATGTGCATGACCCTGGAATAATAAGAAATTATTCCAGGGTACCACCCACATGGTCCACGCACACGGGAGGACCCATAAAAAAATGAAGTAAAATGCCACCGGAGGCTGCCGACGAGGTCCATGTTCTGCAAGTTCTGTACACGTGTTGGAATTGGAGGGAGGTAGAAAAGGAATTCAGTCGCGATGGATGAAACAGCCACACAGCCGACCAGGTTGGTAGTTTTCTTATTCGTTTTTGTTTACAAATATGTTCATATTGTTTGCAAGAAGGGCGGAATTGAAGCTGCAACCAATGCCTGAGTTTGCCGGCTTGTCTCATTCGTCTCCAATGTCCCTCCTCAACTTAATCGATAGGTGTTTCATTCACTTCGAGATTGACTCGTGTCCACCATCCCAAAAACACATACTGTACCTCCCCGTCCACGCCGTGCCGTGCCTAATTCTCACTCACCCATGGCGAAGTGGGCGCCACCCGTGCTGGCACGGCCTTGGGTCCACATCCGGAACGTGTCCTGGCGGATCGCGGGTGGAGTGCCACGGGGCGACCTGGGCCAGGCCGGGCGACCCGCCGCGTGGAGCGGTTCATGGCGGTTCATGGCGGCTGGAGCGGTTCTGGTCGAACGGTGCCAGTCTGAGTGGAAGTCCGGTGATCCCGGACTTGGTTCGTGTTCGGGTACACCAGTGTGGGCCCTTGGAAAGGGTGGTCCAGGAGAGAGGAGTCGATGGAACGTTTTTGGGGGAAGAGGAGGTTCCTTGAACGTTTGACCCGATTCGTTTAGTTCTACGTTTTTGGGAAAGGGGACCATTAAACACTCTACGGTCTACGTTTTGGGCATAGGGCATTGTAGGTCATGCTTGGCCACATGGTGTTCTTTCGTAGCTTGTCTTCCCTATCTGTTGACCACCAACGACCTAAATTCCGCCCAGACGGATGAAGAAGCACTTGGTCCGTCCGAGGCAACGGATGTGCATCACCAGCCCTCGTGGTTGAGCCAAAGCCATTTGCAGCGCCTTGGCGGAGAGAAAGGGTGCAAGGTGAAAGCAAGGCGAAACGGGAGATCACTCCCCAGGCGATGCCAGGTGGCATCGCGCCTCCAATCGTAGGAACAAGCAGAAGCTCTCAGAATGAGTTTCTATTCTATAGATGAAAAACCTACCAGGAAATCCATAGTTTGGGGGTTGAAAGCCCCGGGGTTCAAGTGGATTTTTCCTTGAAACCCATCCCTTTCTGTCGTCCTTGTATGTTGGAGGTTCACGGAGAAGCTCTTCAGCAAGGGCATCAAGACGCACCAAATCTTGGTAGCACAGACCCTCCACAAGATGACGGGGTGCGCCCGGCGTAGCCGGGTGATCCGAGGGGAAGTGCATGGAAACGACAGGCCGTTGAGAGTCAGACAATTAAGAGCAATGTTCATGATCCAATGATATGCACACATATAAATTACCTATATGTACTATATTATAGTATACTATATTAATATATGTGATACAAGTGATATGCATTAAAACCTATCGCATGACGCACCTCGCGTTTGGGGGCTTTGGGGGCTTTGGAGACTTCCAAGCATCTTCCAGTTCCTCTCTTTGGCAGAACTTCTCCCACCCTCGTGGCCAATGCGGCACGGCCAGGACGGTGCCGCAGGTGGCCTTCGTTGGGCGCTCCAACGTGGGGAAGTCCACACTACTGACGCTCGGACCGGTGACCGGTGACTGGTGACTCCGGTGGACTGGCGTCCATCAAATGTGAAGCCATGAGGAAGTCGGGTTCGCATGAACACCAGAAGAAATCCCTCAGCTAGAAACGTCCCCAAGAAGAACTGAGCTCGAGTGAGGTTGCACACTTCATGTATAGATGACACGTCATGTATAGTTGATGTCTAGGAGCACTTATCCAAGACTGGAATTGTCATGTAAAGACTTGCATCATCGGTAATCGGCTTTGCCGTTGCACTGTGGACGCCAACCTGATTTGGCTCAAGAACTTGAAGAAAAGGTGCCAGGGCCGTGAATGTCGTTCGAGACCGTATCGACCGCTGCCTTTGCATAAGAAAGTCAGGTTCCAGAGTTTATCTGGTTATCAGCCGCAGAGAGGCTACGAGACCACACACACGTAGAGTGAGACAAGCTTGTCAAACGAAACATCGGCATTGTGTTGAAACTTCTTTCGAACACTTGTTGCCTCGCGCTTTCGGGCGCGATCCATGCCACCGCGAGAACGATCGCGGCGTCGACGTGGCCCACGGGGTGGTGACCCGAATAGGCCAAGCCAGCAGTCCCGTCGGGAGCGTGGACTCCCCACAGAGGACAGACAGAGAGAGCCAGAGAGAAGCACCCGGCATCGTGAACGACGTGGTGAGCGTGAGCGTGAGTCGGGGCGTGAGCGTGGTCGCGACAGCAGGTCGCGTGTCAGGGAGGTTTATCGGGCGCAGAGCCCGAGGCAGCCCAGGTTCCCTCCGCCTGGAGTCGTCGAGACCTGGGAGACCAGGCGGTTGCCCAGGGCTGTATCCGATTCTGAAGAGTCGGTGGCTGAGGAACGTTCTCGTGATCGGAGACGCCGGTCGCAGACGCCAAGTGAGCATACAGAGAGATCCCGGTCGAGGCCTCGTGGTCGGTGGCAAAAGTGCTGGGTGTGGGTTCCCGAAGGTGGATTGAGCCCTGTGCGTGACGACAGCAGGGAGCAAGAGGTAGGTTCTCAGGACGACGAGATCCCGGAGGAGGAAGTGGAGCTTGAAGGTGAAAGTGTTGACACGGTGACAGGTGAGCCTCGTGAGACTCGTCGAACAGCAGTCGGTGACATTGCTCCTGAGGTTCCCGGCGCTTCGCCGGAAGCGGCATCAGGTGTTGACTTTTCGGCGACCGAGGATTCGATCGCGAGACAAGCGACAGAGGAAGCAACAGAACATTCAGTGTCGCTTGAGCCAGAGAGCATTCAGGAGCAAGGACGCTACTAGGGGCTCCTCGCATCGCTACCAGGAGCAAGGACGCTACTAGGGGCTCCTGGCATCACTACTAGGAGCAAGGACGCTACTAGGGGCTCCTGGCAGCGCTACTAGGAGCAAGGACGGGGCTCCTTGCATCGCTACTATGAGCAAGGACGCTACTAGGGGCTCCTGGCATCGCTACTGGGAGCAAGGACGCTACTATAGGGGCTCCTGGCATCGCTACTAGGAGCAAGGACACTACGATAAGCAAGGACACTACTAGGGGCTCCTGGCATCGCTACTGGGAGCAAGGACGCTACTATAGGGGCTCCTGGCATCGCTACTAGGAGCAAGGACGCTACGAGGGGCTCCTTGCTATAGGAGCATTCTTGCTCCTAGCGGCGATGCCAGGAGCCCCTAGTAGCGTCTTGCAAGGAGCCCCTAGTAGCGCCCCTAGTAGCGTCCTTGCTCATAGTAGCGATGCCAGGAGCCCCTAGTAGCGTCCTTGCTCCTAGTAGCGATGCCAGGAGCCCCCAGCAGCGTCCTTGCTCATAGTAGCGATGCAAGGAGCCCCTATAGCAGCGTCCTTGCTCCTAGTAGCGATGCAAGGAGCCCCTAGTAGCGTCCTTGCTCCTATAGCAAGGAGCCCCTAGAAGGCACGAGAGCTTCGATCCAGATCGGCCCGCCCTACTGCTAGCAAGCCGTCGCCGTCGATCAGTGAAGATCCAGTTGAAGTGAAGCCTCCCGTTGAGAAGAGAGTCAAGCCTCCGCCTCAGGCTACGTCAGCCAAGGCGAAGACCAGGAGAGAGCAGGTCGAAGCCAGTGACGTTGGGCGTGAAGAGTCGGCAGTTGGTGCATTGCGTCGTGCCATTGGTCGTGATTCATCGCGCCAGCGCGAGGTCCGGTGCCGACGAAGGAAGAGATTGAGCAGACAGAAGCTGCTCGAAAGCGTGAGTTGGAGAGCCTACCACCTCCACCGCCGGTGCCCCGTGAACCGCCCGTTCCTGTGACCATCAGGCCCGCAGCCAAGCCGAAGTTGACCGAGGAGATTCAGCCTGTTGTTCTTGCCCCAAGGCCGAAGGAGAGGCCGCAACCGTCCGGAGAGCCGTCGCCGTCTACTAGGCCTCCTGAGCCAATCGGGGCACCGCCTCCGGCTTGGCAAGACAAACCACTAGTGTTGCTGGACTTCCACAAGACCCTGAGTTTCCCGAACCACGACCCGCCGGTTGCAGAGGCGACCGTACAGACCTTGAGGACAGTCAAAGAGAAGGGATTCTCTATCGGCATTCTCAGTTTCGCCTCAAACAAGGCTACTCAGGAAGGCGTTGCAGCTGGTGTCGCGGAACTTGAGCGTCCACTTGGTTGGTCTTTTGACATTGTCGCGATTACGCGAACCAAGTTTTCCACGGACACCGAGCAGGGAGCGTCGATTACCGGGCACATCGGAAGCAAGGCGAAGTTGGTCGCACAGTTTGGCCCGATCGTTTACGTTGACGACCAAGGCTCATTGTTGAACGACGTGCGCGCCCTCCAGCAGAACGTGCCGATCGGACACAAGACTCACTGCATTCGTGCTGCATCGTATCCGAGTGAAGCCTTGGTCCCACTTGAGAGAACGCTCAGGACCTTTCCAAGGACCAGCGAACTGCCCACAGCCAGAGAACTGGGCAGGATTTTCGGGACCAGGTGAGGCCGAGCAGGACGACCAGTGTGGGTGTACATTGGTCGAGAGTGGGCATTGTTGCATTGGTCGATAAACCCGTCTGCAAAAGGCTACGTGTCGGGTTGAGGCTGGTACTACATTGCTGTTGGACGTTGCGACATTGGTCGATAAATCCGTCTGCAAAGGCTACGTGTCGGGTTGAGGCCATTGCTGCATCATTGAGGGATCTTGTGTGGTCAGACATTGGTTGAGCTGAGGACTCTTTCATTGGTTGGTGGTGGAACATTGTTTCTTGTCGTCGGCCAGAGTTCGTGCTACCTTCGCGTTTGGCTCGCGTCTTCGCGACCGACGCGACTCGTCGTCGCTTGTTGGCGATCCACTGCCCGAAAATCGCAGCTTTCAGCGCGTGGCAATAAACTCCGCGACAAGCGTCGCGTGCCGGCAGTGAAAAGAGGAGGTGGTGCTGCTCAGTGTGTCGAGACAGTGTTGATTGTTGGATTGAGCATTTGTGAACAAACGTTTTGTAGTTAGTTGAGGGTCCTTCAACAGAGTCGGGTCGAGCTTTGAGTGTGTTGAGATTGAGTTGACAGATTGAGTTGAGAGTCGTTGCTTTGCACCGGATAGTCGATGTCAAAACGGTCGCTTCCTGCAACACCCTTTCGTGTCATCGGTCCTGAAGGCTCCTACGAGACCTCGAGTTCATCCATTTCTCCGGAGACTGGGCTTGCGAGGATGGAGGGTGATTTGGGAACTGGTGGAGGAACCGGGCTCCAAGTGAGCGTGCCGGCCAAGGGAAACACAAAGGTTGCAGTGAGTCGTACACGAACTCAGAGTTCCGAACCTTCCCAACCTTCTGGGGTACAAGGTGATCCATCGACTGTTCCTGGGGTGCATGTTTATGATCAGAGAACCCTCAACCACCTACAAGTACTCAACCAGCACAACATCGATCCAGAGACTCTTGAGAGAATTGTTCAGGGTTACGTTCAATCGCAGTTGAACCATGCAGAACAGGTGATACAGCATGAACGACAACAACATCAACTTGAGCAGCAAAATGCAGCACTACAGTTGAGCCTTGAACATCAACAGATGAACCAACACATACAACAACAAGAAGCCAACATGGCACAACAAGCACACAGCAGAATCAACCAGATCACAACAGAGGCACAAGCAGAAATACTCAAGCATCAGCAGATAGCAGAACAAGCACAACGCGAGATACAACGCGTGACAGCTGCAGCAGAAGCTAGGTGTCAAGACCTTGCACGAGAGAACTAGTCTTGAAGAGCCCGAGAATGGTACGGACCCTTTTGAACCATCTTCTCATGAAAGATATATGTACCCAGTGCCTACGCGACCCTCTAGTGTTGCGACCATCAGGGAGCCAGTCAACATGCAAAGGAACATTGCGTCGCATGAAGGACCATCCCATGCAGAAGTTCCTCTTCCTCGAGCCCCTGGCGGTCCGGGACCGTATGGCACGCCGTGTGGTGCATTGCATGATGGTTCACATGTTCATCATCTTGGTGTTGATCCCAGGTTGGTCTATGGAATGTCGACCCCAAAGGCTGTTTCAGAGTCAGGGAGTGCTCCTGTTCCTGGTGTAGGATTTCAACGGGCCATTCCGGCCATGCCATCGTTCCCAAGAGCCGTTCCGGCCATGCCATCGTTCCCAAGAGCTTCAATGGGACCGGCTTACCCACCAGGGGGGTACATCGGCACTATTCCAGAAGCACCTCCAGGTGTATCATCATCAAGTCACCCACCAAACATCTCTATTGCGACACCTCGCAAGAAGGAGTCATCGGAGTCTGGTGGAGGATCAGAGAGTTCGGATGGTTCATCCGATGAAGGCTCAAGAATGCCGCCTGGCAACCCTCCTGAATCTTGGTTGCTTGACGGTGAAACCGAAGACAGCGTGTACAAAATCAAGCATTTGAGAAACATCTCAATCACCAAGTTGCCAACAGATGCAACATCTTGTAGAGAGTGGCGTGCTGCATTGCTTGCGTCGGTGTCGCGCATTGATCTCACTGCGCGTGATGTGTTGGTCAAGTATACCTCTCATTGCATGGATGCCGGACGAGGTCGGACCT